GTACATCCAGTCCCCAAGCAAATCTCATTTGAGATTTTCACTATAATTTTGTATCAAGTACAAAATTAAAATCAAACTTGACCAATTTGTAAGTCCCTGCAAATTGCAACACCAATTGACAGACCCTTGCCAATTACACACTGATCTCTAGACCATGAGATCAACCTCTCTCAAACCGAGAGAACTTTCCTTGAATTAAACAACTCAATTCCTATAAGCATTGATTTGAAGTGTTGTGTAGCAGTGGCTTAGGAATACTTTTAACCTCTGGAAATTGCCAAAATAAAATGTATTTTGAATGACGATCAAAGGCAATTTCAGTAAAGATCTTTTTCTCAAAACTTACTGAAATCTAAAATTTTTGACTTTTGAAAAAATGCACAAAGAATGAAGCTTATAGGTATATAATCATGTATCATTTTTTTTTAACATATAACATTTTTATAGCCCTTGCAAAGACAAGTTTTTAAACTTTAAAAACGTTTAAAAACGGCTATAAACTGTCAATAATTCAAACATTAACATTCAGAAAAACTGCATTAGTAGTCAACTATAATGCGTAGTAGTCGACTACTCTATAATACAGAAAGTCTGGAATTTAGAAACTGAAACTTAGTAGTCGACTATTCTTCTTAGTAGTCAGCTACTCTGTATTACAGAAAGTCTGGAAAACAAAAATCAAATATCAGTAGTCGACTATAATTGTTAGTAGTCGACTACACTATAAAATAACTATTCTGTAAAACAATTTTCAAAGCTCAGTAGTCGACTATATTTACTTGTAGTTGACTACTCTGTAAAACTGAAGTTCTGTAAATCAAAATTTAAAGCTGAGTAGTCGACTATAATTCTTAGTAGTCGACTACTCTGTAGTTTTATAGAAACTTATATCTTGAACTTAGACTACAGTAGTCGATTATTATTCTTATTAGTCGACTATTAAAGAGTAAAAATGTTATGTATGAACTATTTTTAGACTTAATGATAAACTAAAAACTCTAATTGTTAACATAGGGGATTTCTATTGTTAACCAACACACTAAGTCTGTGTTAGTGTGTTCTAATTTCTATGTGTGTGTGTGTGTGAGTGATCAAGGCTTGTACAAAAATTCTAAGTAAAGATAAATGTAAAAATTACATTGATGTATTTGTTCTTTATCTTCTTTACTTCATAATGCCTTGAACTCATATTGCACTTGTTCATTACATTGATGTATTTGTTCTTTATCTTCTTTACTTCATAATGCCTTGAACTCATATTGCACTTGTTCATTTTTTATGTTGAAAGTTGTAATTAAATGTTAGTGCAAATGTATAACACACATAGTGATTCTCAATATGAATAAATTGTTATCATCAAAATTATATCATGGGGACATGATATCCAACATTCTTCCCCTTTTTGATGATGACAAATAATTTATGCATATGTAAGTATATTTAAAAACTAAAAACTTTGATAAACAAATATACTTACTCCCCCTGTATAAAAGCACATTAGAGTCTACAATTCATATTGTTGAGTCTATAAAACATAAATTCTGAAAACATTTTCCCCCTTTGTCATTAGCAAAAAGAAATATATAACTATCCTAAACATATCATAATTTCCTCTTCATGAGCTAGCACTTCAAACAGATCATTCAGATTATGAACATAGTCCATAACTTCACCCATCCAAATAGGTAGGTAAAGACTTCCCATAAAAACCAAAAGTTCCACAATGTTCATCACCATAATCTGTTTAAAATATATATAGCACATGAATTAACTTTTTAATCATCATAAACGCAACATAAAATTCAATCCCATAAAACATACTAAAGTTAAAGCAACATATTAGCAACACAACACATATTACATATGTCTTAAAAAAAATAACTACGACATAGTTTGTGACATTCAAACTCAAACAACCAACATAACACATATTACCATTGTTTTAACACTAAACATAAAATTATCCAAACAAATCTAAATGATGCATGCGTAATCTTCTAAGGTGCTAGAGGTGGTTGATGTCCTTGAAAGAAAGCACTGAGCTTCATATCCAAGGTATCAAACTTCATATTCATTGTGTCAAACTTCATCTCCAGAATATCAAATTTGTTGGTTAAGGCCTCTTGATTTTTTAGCATGAGCACATTTTGATCAAACAAGGCTTTCTGACCCACTTCCAAATCTAGTATTCTAGCAGACATTGTATTGTATTATGCATCTGAGAAACAAGAGGATTCATGCATTTGTGGTATTGGTGGTGGAATATGAGAGGAGGAGGGTCCAGCTTCATTAGTGTTTTGTGGTTGGGGTTGATGTTTTGTTTCAGGTTGATGTTGAGGTTCATCTTGGTGAATTTCAAAGTTTGTTAATTTCATCCTAGTTAGGGCATTAGAATCGAAGAATTCAATGGAACGAACGACAGAATTTTCAGACTTAATATCAACATGAAATTTATCAAATATTTTTGTTAAAAAGGCATCGTAAGGAAGAAACCCTTTGGTATTGTCAGAAGATTATCAAAATAAACTTCAGCCCAATTAACTTGGATATTCCCCATTATAGCATATCATGCTTTTGCTAAGTCTAGGGAAATGAATTGGAAACTTTCAGTTTTTGGAAACAGGTTATAGGCTAAGATTCGGGCAATGAAACGAGGAATTGGACGTAGCTTATTTGAATTATTCAATGGTTTACTATAACCATGAAGAAAAATATGATTGGATAGCAATTCTGAATCATTTATTCTGATTGACCTAAGAGAGACTCCTCGAAAAGGAATGTTAAAAATTTTTCCAATTGACTTAGAAGTCAAGTCAATTTTTACTCCTTTGACAAGAGTTCTAAGCTTTTCAGTTCCACTAATAGTTTCTATACGTTCTATATTAGTATAGAGCAATTGAACCAGAAAAGGATATGTGGGTTTTCTATTTTCAGGAGAGAATAATTCAAGTAACCCCATATTTTCAAAATATGATCCAAAATTCCATGGGATAAAATCATCAAATTTCACAAATCGTCCTGGAAGAACTTCAAATGTGGATATTTTGTTAAATTCTTCAAGTAAATCAGGACTTTTTAAATATATGATGATATTTTGTTAAATTCTTCAAGTAAATCAGGACTTTTTAAATATATGATGATTTCATCATTAACATTAGTATGAACTTGCTTATCTTTCTTTGCTCTAGACATGATAAATCAGAAATATACCAAAAGATAAGAAAGATCAAGTTGAGAAATTACCAAAAACGGACGAAACCCTTGGATTAGTCGACTATTACTGGATGTAGTCGACTACAGAGACTGTCAAACTGAAGAAACCAAAGTATTTGATGAAGATTTTGAGAAGAAAAACGAAAATCTGATGAAGCCCTAACTTGGATTCAATGGGTTCTGAAGAGGGGAAGAAGAGAGATCGGTTATGAGAAGAAGAAGATGGGTTTTGTGTTTTTGATTTTTCTTTAGAATAAAAATTGTAATTTGTATGATTAGAATTAAATTAATAACAAATGAATGGTGAAGATTTGCTCTTAAATATGTGGCTAGGATTGATGGGATTAGAATCAATGGTTGAGATAAATTTTACTTAAGTGAAATGGGTATTGGGTTTAGGGTATAAAGGGTTTAAATTTAATATGCTAAAAAAACTAAGTTTGGAAAAATCCAATATGCCAAGGCGTTTCTACAAGAGAAGACCGGCCGTTCAAGATGATGAACTCCCAGAAGTCACTATCAACGTGGCCGAAAAAGGGAAATCAACATGGCATTTCAGTCCTGAACATTTTCTGGAAATATCCCAGTGTCTAACTCGATTGTGATCCGGAACTATCAGACCAAGGGCTAATCTACGAATGAGCATAGGGTTATCTTCAGATGAAAAAACGCCAGACGCTTGCTCTGCAGTCGCTTCGGATGCCACTATGTCCATCACATGACGAGTTCGGGAGGCGTTCACCATCACTCTCGACCGGTTAGCTCAAATGCTCGAAAATGCTCTAGCTAAGTAGAAAGAAGAGCTCAGAGCTGAGAAGAAGATGGTAATAGAGTTGAATATGTAGCGCATGAGGGAGTTACATGCCCAACAACTTCAACCCTTGTTGAATTAGTAGGCTAAATCCAGTCGTCGCAACAATACTAACGAAGTAGTTGGCGACTCCGAAGTAGATCAAAATATCAATGTTGATACTCCCTCCAACGACAATAACCCTAGGAGTGGTCCAGTGGAATCTCCTTAACCTTCTCAGCAACCCCAAAGAAAAATGTAGGTGAAGATAAGAAGATGAAGGACATCAAGAGCAAAATCAACTCTTTGATGTCTGCTCAAGAGGTGAAGAAGACCGGCATCCCGTGTCCGTATTCGAGAGAGTGGGAATCGATTCTGTATTTGGCGAAGTTTAACTTAATTAACTTCACTCTGTTTAACGGGAGAGGATCGCTCACTCAGCATCTAATTTATTTTAAAATCACACCTCGGCGTGATCTCTGGCAACGAACCTTTGATGGTCCGATAGTTCGTCGACACCCTTCGCGAAGCCTCCTTCGAGTGGTATCGTCATCTTAAGCCGGGGAGCATCAACAGTTAGGACAACATGGAAAGCATGTTCCTCACAAACTTCTTCGACGACGACACTGAAGTGTCAATCGGGACATTGTTCGATGAAAAGAAAAAAGACGGAGAGTCAGTCGACAACTTTATCAAGCGCTTCCGGAATAAGGCAATGAATTGTTGAGATCAGGTCACAGAGGAGTTTATTCTCCAAACATGTCATAATAACCTTTCTTTGGATGTTCTGGAAGCTATGGTAGTGACACCATCTAAAACCTAGAAAGAATTAAAGGTGCACGGAGAGTAAGCCGAATGCTTCCTCAAACGGAAGAAGGCTGAAAGAGGTCAACCGACGGTTAGTGCTCCGAAGCAAAACTTTGTCCCTTGTGGTAAAGGAAGGATGCCGGTGAATGCAGTAGACATGAATCAAATATTCTAACTACAATCGTAATAGCAAGTGCCACAGAAATCGCCCTCTTAGTGGCAACAACGACCTCAAAGGCAGCAAAAAGACTTCTGAACCAAAATTCCCGAAAGAATACTCCTTTAAGGAATATGAAGTTCCTGCTATCTTCAAATACCTCCTGAATAACAACAAAATCAAATTTCCTTCAATCTCTAACAAGGAGGAAGCCAAGAGGACAACGGAACCAAAATATTATGCATTTCACAAGCGGGTCCATCATCCCATTAAGATATGCTACACCCTTAAGGACAAGATCCAAGCCTTGATCGACGTTAGCATCATCACTACAAAGCAGCCCAAAGAGAAGAAGGTGGGCGCAAATGTGGTTTCTATCAGTTTCGGTTTTGACCCTCCGTCATGGTTTCAGCCAGAGTCCGTGTTAAAGGTAGAGATGAAAACCATTAACGACGATCCCCATGGACAACGCCAGAAGGGGCTTGTGCAGCACATGGTTCCTAATGGTGAAATTCTTTGAGTCCATACAGATTTGCTCAAAGATGAACAATGGATGGGGTCCTCATCCAAGAAGAAGTCCAAGAGTAAAGGCAAAACCTGCTGCCCTGCCACAGCAATCCCTAAGAAAGATGATGAAGGTATCCCTACCTTATCACTTTCAGAAGACAAACATGAAGTCTTTTCTACCATGAGCGGGAACAAATACCACAATAAATATCCCGAAGTCTCTGATCCAAATGCTAAAACATTATCTGAGTTGGGGATAATTACAACCCCCCTGCACCTGCTGGGAAGCCCCAGCAACAAACAACTAACAACCAGTCCCCGAAGAGCCGGAGCCACCAGCTCAACATTGCAGTTTGGAGGCCAAGCAGTTCCCTTGTATCACCTTCACCAAGGATGACATGCAAGTGAGAAACTCGAAGCATGATAGGCCTTTGTACTTCACCGGATACATCGACTCCAGCATTGTCAACCGGGTTCCACTGTCAGCATCATGCCACTCCGATTGATGTACAATCTCAGAATCCCTGCCAGCAAGTTAGCTTCGACAGGCGCCATTATCTACGGATTTAATACTAGTGGGTCCAGACCATTGTGTAAGATCCGAGTGAAGTGCCAACTTAGAGACTTAAAATCCAAAGTCACGTGCTATGTGATCGACGCAGAGACTTCCTATAACTTACTATTGGGTGGATCTTGGATCCATAGTAATGTTATAGTCCTCTCCACCCTCCATCAGTGTCTCAAATGTGTATACGCTAATAATGAGGTCAAGATGGTAGTCACGGATAAGAAACCGTTTAAGGGGTTGGAAAATTACTTTACCGACTCCATTCTTTACGGTGTTAAATCTGATACTGAACCATCGGCCCAAGGTACGAACAGCGGAGAAGAAGCTGATACCGAAGCTGGGCTTGATTACGATGTGTTGGCCTTCTTGTTTTGATGATGTTTAACAAACAATTTACAACTAATGTTGTTTGTTTAGTGTTGGTATATTTCTATTTATTATAGACAAACAACGTGTTGGAGGATGGATGGAATAGAGCTTCAACGATCATATCCAAAGGAGGTTGGTGGAATGTCGGTGAAGCTCATACAATTCAAGTTAAAGATCAAGTTCAAGCTTCATCCGCAAGTGTACCAAGTCGAGCTTATTGAAGATCTAGATCTAGCTTGGGTAACTTAGTATAGGTTTTATATTATGTGTGTTAAGTACGTTAAGCTCAATATCTATACACACACATATATTGGTTTCTTTGTATATATATGTATGTAAAAATATTGTATTCTTAGTTTTTGGACTTAACAATAATCATATACATATTTTATTAAGTCTACAAAATCATTGTGCAAAGTTTCAAAACATGGTTTAGCCAAAATATCAAAATTCACATGTTTACATTTTCATGTTTTGGCCTATTTTGTAAAATAATGATATATTTCATTTGGAAAGTCCTTTTTGAAAACCAGTCATTGTAGCATGTTTATTATCATGTCTACAATCATTCCCCAAAGTTTTATATTTTTTGGAATTTTTAAACAGGGTTTTAAAATCAGCAAATCAGTTTTTTAGAATATATCAGTTCTCTGTTGGCCGCACCTATGTTCTTTCGTCAGTGGGCAGTAGAGAGTTTGTCGGTTGACCGCCGCGGTCGACCGAGAGCTCGAAATTTCCATCGGTCGACCGCACCGGTCGACCGAATAAGTCTTTGCTCGTTTTCAATTTTTTCGGTCGACCGCCGCTCAATCAGATTCTTTCCAACGGCTATTTTTGTTACCGTTGGTTGGGGTTTTTCTTATCATTTGTTTGGGGTTTTTTGGCTGAGGTTTTGGGAGGCTATAAATACCCCCATTGATCTCAGTTCTAAGATAGCTAAGAAGCTTTTAAATAAGTTTTTAAACAAGGGTTTAAGTGTGGTTTTACTGGTTGTTTTAAGTTTGGGTTTTGTTTACAAAGGAGGAAGCTTCACTGCGGATTGAGGGATTCTTTCTCAATCTTCTTCATCATCTTCTTTGTGTTTTAGAAAAGTTTTCTAACTCTTTTCTCTAGCAATTTTATTATTGATTTTCATATTCTTATTGCTAGTTTGCTATTTGAGTTAGATTTGATTTCACTCATTGTTACACACACCCACTTGAGCTTATTGTATTTGCATACATAGTATATTAGGGTTGTGAGAGATTGTAACATTGAGTTGTGCTTTCATTGTGTTCTCATCCATAGTTAGACAAGAAACATTTATTAAGCCTAATTGTGAGATTCACTTTGTAATACACTTGTACACCGAGAGGAGTGTGTGGTGAGAGTCGGGGATCGTTCCAAGAGGAGTGGCGTCGGTTGACGATCCTAGGGAGAGGTTGTAATCGAGCACTTGAGGGAGACACGGCTAGGTCCAACACTTGTGTGAGTGTAGAATGTGATTGCATAGTGTTTGTTGTGTGAGAGTTTTCGGTGAACTTGTAAACCGAGTGTGTAGAAGTTCTGGCTTCCAAACCGGGTTGTGATAGTAGATTTCTCCCCGGGAGTGGGGAGCGGAGACGTAGGACGGAAGGTCCGAACTCCGTGATCATATTGCTTGTTTGAGTTTGGCTTAGCACTTATATTTGTTCATCTTTATAGCCTTTCTCTCATTGTTTATTTCATCCACTATCTCATTTGTTTATGTTACCCTTGTGTTTGCATATCCTTACATATATCATATTGTATATCTCTTTGGTAGGATATATCATCTTGTGCTAGCTTATATATCCTTGCATATATTTCATCATATAGGATATATTTCATTGTTTATATTGCTTATCCTAGCTCATATATCTGGTGGTATTTTATACTTGCTAGGATAACTTGTTAATTAGTTTTAATTGGCATATAGTCGGATTAGATTAGCATAAGACCCTAATCACCCCCCTCTAGGGTCTAACAATTGGTATCAAAGCTTGGTGCTCTTTGATTTAAGGTCTAATCGCCTTGAGTTAAAGATCCAAGTTTTATTTTTATGCTAATATTGTTTTAATTGTATTTGTATCTTGCTTGCATATTTTTACAAATTATGGATATGAATGATGCATCTTGTTTAGGCTATGATTCTAGTATTGCTCCTAAATTCAATGTTTTTTCCATATGCTCAATGGTGTTTTAGATTCAAATGATTTGTTCAATCTAAAAATATCGATTTATGGGAAGTCATTTATTGTGCTTATATTGTGCCCACGTTGGAGAAATCCAAGTGGAGCAAACATGATAAAAAGATGTTTATTATGAACAAGCTTATGTTAGAATTTTTATTAAATGCATTTGATTCATTTATGTCTAACAAGCTTGATTCTTTTGATAGCGCTTATACATTATGGAAATTCATAGAAGCGCATCAAGGAGACTTGGAACAAGCTTTGGAGGATCCAGCTTCAAGTTCATATGGAGCGTCATGCACACGCGCACTAGGCGATAGCCCTAGTGAGGTTTGCGAGTTCGAAACCACTAATGATTTATCTAGTGATGAACTTGCTTGTGCTAGTGAAAAATTATTGCATGCCTTTACCAAATTGCAAAATGATTTCATTAATTTACAAAGCAAGCATGTAATTTTTAAATCCGATCATGAGTCTTTAACTTCTAAGTTTGATATTATTTCTAACGAAAATATGATCCTTAAAGAAAACAATGAAAAATTAAAATCGGATCATGATTCTTTGCTTTCAAACTTTGCCAAGTTAACTCATGAAAAAGATAATGCCATGTTAGAAGTAGAGAACATACAAAATGATACTGCTTCTTTTATAAATAACTATTTATGTTCTACTTCTAAAAATGCATATGTGCCTAAAACTAAATATTTGAATCTTATGAATAAAAGCATTTTATCTTTAGATTCAACTTTGAAAACATGCATTAATAATCATAAGAGGCTTATGGATATGTGTGCCAAGTCTAAGTCATCATCTACTCATCATGCACACATATATAGCAAAATTTATAAATGCTCTATTTGTGGCCGAAAAGGTTGCACACAAACATAAGAATTCTAATGCTCCTTGTGCATCTCATGTAGCTTCTTCATCTTGTACACTTACACATTCACATGCTCATTCTCACAAAGTTCATCATAAGCATGCTAGTGTGTTCAAGTGTGATCATTATGGTTGTTTTGGTCATTTGGCCGAATATTGTTTTGATTTGAAAAGAAAATCATGTTTGCCAGATGTATATAGTAGACCACATATTTTTAAATGTGATGTTTGTGGTAGGTTTGGACATCTTGCTAAATTTTGTTTTGATTTGCAAAATGCTCCAAATTTGCAATTTGCTCCAAAAAGACCACCTTTGTTTAATGATATTTCTCATTTGCAAAATAATTTTAAAAGAAAATTTTTATTTGCAAATGATTCTCGTGCACGAGCTAATGGCCCACAAAAACAAATGGGTCTCTTTTATTGCACAAATTACAATCGGAAGGGTCATTTGAATGAATATTGTTTTGACCATGTTAGTACACCATATGTGCCCAAGAGGGTTCATAACCCTAGGGCTTTGAGCTTTAATGATAGGGGTCATGTGCCTAAACAAACCGACACCAAGAATACTTGGGTGCTAAAATAATTTTTAAGCTAAGAATTTTAGTACTTTTATTTTTCTTTTTCTTGGTTTCGAAAAATGTATTTTAAATTTTTATGAAAATAATTCTTTTTATTGATCAAATCTTTTGTTTTCATGATTATTTGATTTGTTTTCATGAGAGGACTATGTTTATATAACCCTCCGGAGTCATTGGGTGTTTATTCCCAAATATTGTTTACCGGATTCTAAAATATTTATATGGGTTGATACTAGCTCAAGAGCTAGATATAATTGTCTCTCTTGATATTTGATTTTATGATTTAAATTTTGATTTATGATTTCATTTGATTGATTTGTTTTCATTTGAAAACATTTTGCATGATTCTCATGCTCTTTTTCTTTTGATTTCATAAATCTACCTTTACATATGGTTTTTATGTTCTTTGATATGAGACACTATTTTTAATTTTGATATATTCATATGCGTTCTCATTATCTTTTTTTGTATGTGAGGAGTGTTTAGCATTTTTCTATCTATGCTTGCTCACATATGTTTGCCATGATCTTTATTGCATATATTCTATATGGCATTTTGATAGGGGGAGCAATCCCTATACTTGTTTTATACTCACCTATGCTTATTTGTAGGGGGAGCCTTCGCTCTCTTCATTCTTTATGGTTTTCCCCTTTTTGATGTTGTCAAAGGGGGGGGGGAATATTGTGAGTATATTCTTTCTTATTTATATGCATGATATATTATACTTTGTATATTCATTTCCTTTCATGCATATATCCTTTTTGTAAATTGTTTGTTATCATCAAAAAGGGAGAGATTGTTGGCCTTCTTGTTTTGATGATGTTTAACAAACAATTTACAACTAATGTTTGTTTGTCTAGTGTTGGTATATTTCTATTTATTATAAACAAACAACGTGTTGGAGGATGGATGGAATAGAGCTTCAACGATCATATCCAAAGGAGGTTGGCGGAATGTCGGTGAAGCTCATACAATTTAAGTTAAAGATCAAGTTCAAGCTTCATCCGCAAGTGTACCAAGTCGAGCTTATTGAAGATCTAGATCTAGCTTGGGTAACTTAGTATAGGTTTTATATTATATGTGTTAAGTACGTTAAGCTCAATATCTATACACACACATTTATTGGTTTCTTCGTTTATACTCACTATATATATATACTTATATATATATATATATATATATATTATATATATATATATATATATAATATATATATATATATATATATATATATATTATATATATATATATATAATATATAATATATATATATATATATATATATACATAATTTTTAGGTTTTTATGCATATATATATTATATATATACATACACGTGTTTTTTGAGTTTTCATGTTTAATAAATATGAAATCACATGTTTTATATTTATTTTTGTTGTTTTAGTATATATTGCATAGAATATGCAATTTCTGTGAAAATATTGTTTTCTTAGTTTTTGGACTTAACAATAATCCATATACATATTTTATTAAGTCTACAAAATCATTGTGTAAAGTTTTAAAACATGGTTTAGCCAAAATATCAAAATTCACATGTTTACATTTTCATGTTTTGGCCTATTTTGTAAAATTATGATATATTTCATTGGGAAGTCCTTTTTGAAACCAGTCATTTGCTAGCATGTTATTTTATCATGTTACAATCATTCCCAAAGTTTTACATTTTTTGGAATTTTAAACAGGGTTTTAAAATCAGCAAATCAGTTTTTAGAATATATCAGTTTCTCGGTCGACTGCATCGGTCGACCGCAACCTATGTTCTCTTCGTCAGTGAGGCAACCACAAGCCTCTCTCGCGGTTCTCGACCGCAACTCCGCGATTCGACCGAGAGCTCGAAATTTCCATCGGTCGACCGCACCGGTCGACCGAATAAGTCTCTGCTCGTTTTCTCAGATTGGGATCTGGATCGCGGTCGACCGCAAATTTTTTCGGTCGACCGCTGCTCAATCAGATTCTTTCCAGCGGTTATTTTTGTTACCGTTGGCTGGGGTTTTTCTTGTTATTTGTTTGGGGTTTTTTGGCTAAGGTTTTGGGAGGCTATAAATACCCCCATTGATCTCAGTTCTAAGATAGATAAGAAGCTTTTAAATAAGTTTTTAAACAAGGGTTTAAGTGTGGTTTTACTGGTTGTTTTAAGTTTGGGTTTTGTTTACAAAGGAGGAAGCTTCACTACAGATTGAGGGATTCTTTCTCAATCTTCTTCATCATCTTCTTTGTGTTTTAGAGAAGTTTTCTAACTCTTTTCTCTAGCAATTTTATTATTGATTTTCATATTCTTATTGCTAGTTTGCTATTTGAGTTAGATTTGATTTCACTCATTGTTACACACACCCACTTGAGCTTATTGTATATGCATACATAGTATATTAGGGTTGTGAGAGATTGTAACATTGAGTTGTGCTTTCATTGTGTTCTCATCCATAGTAGAGAACAAACTTTTATTGAGCCTAATTGTGATATTCACTTTGTAATACACTTGTACACCGAGAGGAGTGTGTGGTGAGAGTCGGGGATCGTTCCAAGAGGAGTGGCGTAGGGTGACGAGCCTAGGGAGAGGTTGTAACCGAGCACTTGAGGGAGACACGGCTAGGTCCAACACTTGTGTGGGTGTAGAGTGTGATTGCATAGTGTTTGTTGTGTGAGAGTTTTCGGTAAACTTGTAAACCGAGTGTGTAGAAGTTCCGGCTTCTAAACCGGGTTGTGATAGTGGATTTCTCCCCGGGAGTGGGGAGCAGAGACGTAGGACGGAAGGTCCGAACTCCGTGATCATATTGCTTGTTTGAGTTTGGCTTAGCACTTATATTTGTTCGTCTTTATAGCCTTTCTCTCATTGTTTATTTCATCCACTATCTCATTTGTTTATGTTACCCTTGTGTTTGCATATCCTTACATATATCATATTGTATATCTCTTTGGTAGGATATATCATCTTGTGCTAGCTTATATATCCTTGCATATATTTCATCATATAGGATATATCTCATTGTTTACATTGCTTATCCTAGCTCATATATCCGGTGGTATTTCATACTTGCTAGGATAACTTGTTAATTAGTTTTAATTGGCATATAATCGGATTAGATTAGCATAAGACCCTAATCACCCCCCCCCCTTAGGGTCTAACAATAATGTTTTGATGATGTTTAACACGATGGTGGTTTTGTATTAAATAACGTTCTACCCTTTGTAATCAATCTTGATGATGAAGAATCATTATATAGTAGTTGTAATTAGCAACTTGGCGATGACGTAATAAATAATGATTTAGAGTACACGCATTGTCTTGATAATGTAATGTAGGGGCTGTACAATAACCCCGATATATATATGCCGCTTCGGTCATCTTCTATGAAAAAGAAGTGTATTCAAGATTCATTCGGAATAACTCTTGTCCTTGCAGCCAAGGCGGGGGGTGAAAAAAGAGATAGTCTTCGGCAAAGGAGAAAAATCTCCACCATCCAATCTCTTCTCGAAGGAAGATAGTAATGATGAAAAACCAGGTCCTCACTTGTTCAAATATGGACCAAAAGCATGTAACCTCATGGAAAAATGGGGATATGACTTCACACTTGGGAAGGGTTTTTGTTTCGGCCGAGGTCCTCGAGTTCCGACCAAAGTCGCTTGTGTCCCTAAGGGAAAACCCGACAATTATTATGGCCACAGAAGAGGTTTAGGCTATATCTCTTTATCCGATGACGAATGTTGCTAGCAGATTGTTGACTAATTAGTAAATAATGATGGATACTCATAAGATTCTTCAGGCTTGGACTCTGACGTCAGCCTTGGAGAGGTGTTCAAAGGGCTGATGTCAAACATGGCCACAGTCGATCCCATCACAATGGAGGAAGACGATCAACTGCCAACTGGGGAAGACCCATGGATCCATCACTTGAATATTCAGTATGGGGATCGGTTCGACCAAAGAGAACCTCCTACCGAAGACAAAGTGGTCCAAGTAAACATGGATGACGAAGCGAATCCGAATCTAATATTCGTCAGTCTTCCACCAGACGAGAAGGAAGAGTTGATTGCCCTCATCAGGGAATATATAGATGTTTTCGCCCAGAATTACGAAAATATGCTAGGACTTGATCTAAATGTGGCAGTTCATCGCCTTAATATCAAACCGTATGCAAAACCTATCAAGCAACAGCAAAGATAGTTTCGTCCGCAAATTATGGAAGCAATCGATTCTGAAGTTAAAAAACTAATTGACTCGGGTTTTATCAGGGAAGAACAACATCCCGATTGGCTAGAAAATATCGTATCGGTCCTTAAAAAGAACGAGAAAATCAGGATCTGTATCGACTTCAGAGACCGGAACATCGCCGATCATGGATGTTATTATTGACAACACGTGCGGATTTGAGAGAATGTCCTTCATGGACGGGTTTTTAGGTTACAATCAAATCAAGATGTACCCAGATGAAGAAAAACATACCATATTCAGGACTCCCCTCGGTGTCTTCTGCTACATAGTCATGCCTTTTGGATTGAAGAACGCATGAGCCACCTATCAACGAGCAATGTCAAATATTTTTCAGGAACACCTCCGGAAGACTGTTGAATGTTATGTGGATGACCTGGTCATGAAAAGCCATAACAAAGATGATCATATCAAAGATTTGAGGACGATGTTCGGTCTCATGCAGAGTCACCAGCTAAAGATGAATCCTACCAAGTCTTTCCTCGGAATGTTCAGCGGTAAGTTTCTGGGATTCGTCGTCACCATGAAGGGTATCCACATTGATCTCGATAAGGTGAAAGCAATAAATAAATTGTAACCCCTGACAAACCTCAAGGAACTCTGAGGATTGCAATGACGATTGACTTATATCCGACGGTTTATTTCTAATCTCTCCGGAAAATACCAACCGTTTTCTAAGCTAACAAAGAAGGGAGTGTCTTTTATTTGGGACGATGCCTGTCAGAAGGCATTCGAATATATCAAAGAAAATCTGGCGAATCCTCCAGTCCTCATTGCACCGAAGTCGGGTAAACCATTCTTGATTTACGTCAAGGCGATGAACCACTTGTTAGGTGCTTTGCTTGCACAAGATGATGACAACGGTCACGAACAGGTTGTCTATTACTTAAGTCAAACTTTGGTTGGTATTGAATCTTGATACCCAATGATTGAGAAGGAATGCCTCGCTTTGGTGTTCACCATCCAAAAGATGCGACATTACCTCGTTGGACAGACGATCTATGTCATTTCCAACATTAACCCAGTACGGGTATTCATGATGCAACCGGCCATTATGAATTGGCAACTAGCAAAATGAGTCCTACTTTTGTCCTATATGACCTGCACTTCAAGTAACAAAAGTCAGTGAAAGGACAAGCAATTTACGATCTTCTAGCCGCCAACCCTACGACGGATGCAGCTGAATTATATGAAGATTTGCTAGATGAAATTCACAAAGTTAACACCACCTCTCATCAGCAAGTATGGCAATTGTACTTCGATGGTGGTTCCCGAGCAACTAATGCGGCAAGTGCTCCTGGATGTTCTAAAATTTCTTCAGGAGTTAGAGTTGTCTTAGTTTCCCTGGAGAGACACGTGATGCCTCGAGCCTATTCACTCACAGAACCGTGTTCTAACAACGTTGTTGAATTCAATGCACTACTCATTAGGCTCAGTTTTTCCAAAGATCTAGGGGTCGAGTATCTCGAAGCTTTTAGTGATTCTCAACTGATAGTCAACCAAATTCGAGGAGAGTACAAAGTTAAGAATCAATACCTGATACTGTACCATAAGATAGCCATTGAGATGGTAGGCTCGTTCGAAGAATTCTTCATCGAATACATTCCGCGTCTCCAGAATGCGTACGCAAATACACTGGCAGCATTAGCGGTATCTCTGGCACAGCCTCTAGATACCGAACAATGGGTCACTGTGAGAACTCATCAACTCTTCACACCAGACTACGTCTTAGATATCAAGGAGGCGCACTCAGCCCGAATTCAACTCGAGCCTTGAGATTGGCGATTTCCCATTATCGACTATGTCGTGCATGGTATTTTGCCGGAAGACATAAAAGAAAGACACTCGGTCCGACGAAGAGCGCTGAGATTCCATTATAACACGACGACCCAAACATTGTATCATCACGCATACGACGGCTTGCTACTCCTATGCCTTTCAAAACCAAAGAGGCAGAGGAAGCTCTCAAAGAAGCGCATGACGGAACCTGTAGTGCACATCAGGCAGTTCCCAACCTCTGCGATCGCCTCAGAAGAATAGGATATTATTGGCCAACCATGGTCAAGGACGTAGTTGAGTACGCCTGACGATGCCACGCATGTCAAATACATGCGAATTATATGCATTAACCCCCAGAGCACTTGCACCCTTCATCTACTTCATGGCCATTTGAAACGAGGGGAATGGACATCGTTGGTCCTATTTTTCCACCGTCAGCCAAAAGTGATCATTTTATTTTGGCAATCACCAATTATTTCTCAAAGTGGGCCGAGGCAGTTTCACTCAAAGAAGTGAAGACAAGCGACATCGTCAAGTTCATCAAACACCACATCATATACTGATACAGTGTTCCAAGACGAATCATGCATGACAACGGCCCTCAATTTGTTAGCAATGCCTTCATCAAATTTTGCGGAAAGTTCAGGACCGAAGACGTGTAAAACCCCGAAAAATTTGAATATTTTATGATAAATAATGATAAATATGTCATATGGTGAAGAATAATATATTTTGATGTTTGTATATGATAAGAATTGATTTGAGATCAATTCAATATATATTTGTGAATATATATAAGTGCAAATGTGCAAAACATGTACAAAGACCAAAAGAGAAACCTGAGAATAATGACCAGTTATGAGTTTCTAAATTTTACACACTGATGCAGTTAGAATCTGAGAACATGTAAATACCAAAGTTATAGGTCTCTTCAGCATCTTTCTAACAAATCTTTAATCACCTCATTCCGAGGTCGGATGTGAAAGTTATAGCCAAAATATCAAAGAGTATGTTTCTAGTCAGACTGGGTTTTCCAGTTTCGGGTTTCGAGTTTTGGGCTATAGTTTTTCGGGTTTGCTGTTAAATATACACATGTTTATACATGAAAGACACCTCTTTTCTCCTGTGTTCCAAACCCTAGAAGCCTCTCTCCTCCTCTATCAAACCCTAGCCCTAAACTTGTGTTCTCGGGGGAGTTTCATGAGGCGAGAAGCGAGGAGAAGGCAGGATTTGTGGCGTTTGGCATCGAGGGATCATTCTCACACGTTTTTAAGAGTTCATCAACACCCCTCAGGCGAGTTTCATCTCACCCAACTCTGTACCCACTTTTAAAATGATTTTATTTGAGTTTTTACATGGTTTATTGAGCCTAAAATGCTATTTTGTGTATAAAGCTGAATCTCTATAGTATATGATGTAAAGATCAAGTTTTGGTTTATAAAAATCCACCCACGAATTTTCTAAATGAAGATCTAGATCTAAAATTTATTCCTAAAGTTTTGGTTTATAAAAATCCACCCACGAATTTTCTAAATGAAGATCTAGATCTAAAATTTATTCCTAACAAGAGTTTTAAATAAAAATCTTTGTTTTTATATGTTTCAACATGTTTACACGTATCCAAGAATGTTTTCGTTTTATCTATAGTGATTAGATTTTATTTCATATGCTTTAGAAATGTTAAATGCTGAGGAATATTATCTATGTAGGATTTTTAGTATTCAATATTTTCATATAAAAGTTTTTGAATCAAAACCCTAAGAGCAAAAAAACCTGCATAAGGTTTTCTGTACCTGTGCGGTCGACCATGGCGGTCGACCGCCGGGCGCGCAACAGAAACAGGAAGTTTCTGTTTCCTACGCGGTCGACCGTGCCTATCGACCGCCGAGCGTGCAGGTGAGCAGAAGTGTTCTGTTCTTTGCGCGGTCGACTGTGGTGGGCGACGATCGACCGCTGGGCACTTTTGTGCATGTGCATGTTGTTACTTGTGTTTATGTGGCTAGCAAGATACCTAGGTTGCATGGGATTGATATACACTGAGATTTGTGTACATGAGTTGCCTACGGGCATGAGTCTTAGATTTATTCATCGGGATATTAGAGTGAACAGTAAATATGGTGGTTTTAACATTATTTGCATGTTGCAGTCCTCGTGTTGGACTATAAGCTACCGAAGTCCTCGTGTTGGACTATAATCTACTGAAGTCCTCATGTTGGACTATAAGCTACTGAAGTCCTTGTGTTAGACTATAAACTATTGAAGTCCTCGTGTTGGACTATAAGCTATTGAAGTGCTCGTGTTGGACTATAATCTACTACAGTCCTTGTATTGGACTTTAAACTATTACAGATTTACATATTGGCATATGACAGGTCTTTAAAAGTATGGTTAGAGATTAAGTTATATTTCCACATTGTAATTTGGATTTGGTATTTAGAGGAGCTGTCTTTCATTATTGCTCTACACTGTAGCTTTTGGATTTGGTATTTAGGGATTTACAATTTAAGACATATGGTATATATATGAGAGTTTCCTTGTTTGAATTATTTCGCTCGACGTACCATGCTTGTGTTGTAAATTTCTAAATATCAAACCTCCTTTTATTTCAGAGTAGATGATTGTTTATCTATATGTATTAGTAGCTATTTTCTTATCCTTCTAGCCCTTCTCCCTGGGGTTGGTTGAGATGTTACTCGCTATAGCGCTTTGACGCTCGTTGTTTCCCCCCTTTCAGGTAACGAGCCAGGTGCACGGAGAGCCGTAGGTTGATGGAGCTGCTCTAGTAGTTATTTATCTATATTATTAGTAGTTATGTCAGAACTCCACAGTGGATGTGTTTATGAACATTTGAGTTATCATTCTAGTTTTGTAAAGGCGATGTACCTTAATGTCGTTTCATTTGAATTCCCATTATGAGACAGTTGTATCAGTTCAAATGTTTTCTTCTTAGAGATTTATCCATTTATATATGTGGTGATTATTTTTCTTCAGAATATCTATTGTTTAGTATTTTTTGTATATTCCCTCTTGCCTGTTTTGTACCTACACCTGTTGTTGATTCCACTAGATAAATAGTAATTATGATGGTGAAACGTGTTATTGCACGATGTAGTGCATGACAGGTTTGACATTCTTGATTTCACCTTGGATTGTAGCCTTGTTGAAACCAGTGGCAT